ATCTGTGTCAGTGGTAATTTCTGAATTTAACCACTGCTCCCACTAGGTTAAAACAAATGATAAGCTATTTATATCCATAGGATAAAATAATCACACATAACATGAACAAGCATTGTTTTATATCAATGTTTTCCTAGAGAAGTGTTACTTATTTATTTTTGTTTATTCAAATTTGTTATATCTGCCCAACCACAATGGATTCTGGGCAGCATATTAAAAAAAAAAACCTGCTAACCCAACCCCTCCATGCAAAATAAAACCACAAGACAAACCAGTCTAAAATGATCTAAAATAGAATAGAATTGTTTATTGGCCAAGTGTGATTAGACACACAAGGAATTCATCTTCGGTGCATATGATCTCAGTGTACATAAAAAGACAAAATACATTTGTCAAGAATTATAAGGTATAACACTTAATGATAGTCATAGGATACAAATAAGCAATCAAATCATACTAGGAAACAATATAAATTGTAAGGATAAAAGCAACAAAGTTACAGTCATGCAGTCATAAGTGGGAGGAGATGGGTGATAGCAACGATGAGAAAATTAATAGTAATAATAATGCAGTCTTAGTGAATAGTTAGACAGTGTTGAGGGAATTATTTGTTTAGCAGAGTGATGGCTTTCGGGAAAAAACTGATCTTGTGTCTAGTTATCCTGGTGTGCAGTGCTGTATAGCGTCATTTTGAAGGTAAGATCAATCCAATAGGCGGTGGCAGCAAATGGTAGCGAGCGGCGACAGCGGCGAGCGGTGGCGGCTAGCAGCGGCGATAACCAGGGAACGCTGTCGCAGGCTCCAGTGATCCCTGGCTGAGGCAGCAGACACAGAGGAGGCAGCAATAGTGCCATTTCTGGTCAGCCAGACTGCTGATTGGCAGGGCTACGGAAGGCCAGGATCCAGCTGTCGATCAGCTGACCGGTGGTAGGCGCAACACAGTAGAGCCCTGATGAGCCACATGCTGGGGCTGGGAGGCAGAGGCAGATTTTTTGTTTTCTTGTTTTCTTCCCCAAAAGCTAGGTGCATCGTATGATCTGGAGCCAGGGGTGAAATGCTACCGGTTTGGACTTGTTCGGCCGAACCAGTAGCAACAGCGGCGGTTGATTCGGAGAACCGGTAGCGGCGGCAGCATGAGGCTCTGCCCACCTGCCTGGTCATCATTACTTCCTGGTTTTAACCAGGAAGTAACTTGTTTTTTACCCTCTGAGCATGTGCAGAAGGGTTTGCGCATGCGCAGGGGGCCCAAGAGTGCATGTGATGCACGCGGCGTGTGCACTTCTGAACTGGTACGGAAGGTAGGTAGATTTCACCCCTGTCCGAAGCTTATCAATCAAATAAGTAATTTGATTGCTTATTTGACTTATGGAGCAAAAAAATATGATAATTCCCAAATAATTTTAGCATAGTTTAAAAAACAGGACATCCAGGAAAATCAACCCAAAATCCCAGTTGCACCTGTTTGCCTTCATTGCCACACCCACTGCAGCTCTCACCTCCTTCCTAAAACCATTAAATTTGACTTTCAGGCACCAAATTATTGTCCTTACCTGCATCACACAGAACAGATGATGAAAAGCTGTTAACACTGGAAACAGCTTAGATCTTTCCAGCATCTGCAGTTTATGGGATTTGCATACCATATTTCTTTTATTTCTATTTCAAAAAAAAAAAAAGAAGAAGAAGAAGAATGACTAAAATCCCAAATAGCATATAGTAGTATCCTTTTCCAAGTTTCATTGTGAGGCTTGCCAGTTCTCACATTGCATTTTTCCTGAAAAGAATGGAGAATCCTGTACGGCATCTGCTCATAAAAGATAAGCTTGAATTTGAGATGAACGTCCCTGCCAAAGGAAGGAGAGGGAAGAAAAACTAATCTGCTTCTTTCAATATATTGTTGCAAAATCTATGAAGACCCCTCTCATTTTCAAAGTTAATCTTTAGACAAAGTGGCCTTCCTTTTAGATAAAATCCAGATTTCTTCAGAGAAGGCCTTCAATTATAGAGTCTGGGGATGACCCCTGCTGGCATAAAGTGAAAAGTGCCACGGATAAACAGGAAGAAGAGGGGATGAGAAAAACTGAGGGCTGAATGGTGCCAAGAAATGAAGCCCTTGATTGAAGGCCACCCTTGCTTGCTGTGGTCCTCAACATTTGTCCTTTTCCTGTTTTGTCTGTTCTCTGGCCTTTGTACATCTGCTGTTTCCTTCCCCAGGATGCATATGGGCTCCTAAAAGAGAATACTAGAAAGGTGCTCCAGGATATAACCTCATTCAAATGCAGCTGTTGCCAAAAGCTTAGACATTGGAGATAGCATTCTTCTTCATACCTTCATATTTCCTATCTGAAGTTGCCCTGATTTGGTTAATGGGAATTATTCAAGAGTTGTGAGCATGCTTTTTTTTAAAAAAAAAAAAAAAACCTCTTCCATGCTATTGTCACACACAGGTTACTGATGTGGGAATATAACAGTTATGAATGGTATTTCGAGTCTGCTGACACCACTGGAGGAATTTATATCTTATTACTTTGAACCCACAAGTAGGCCAAGATAACTTTTCTTTTTCTGTGAAAATTGCTACTCATCAAACAGTTAGGAGTTCTGCCAAACATTGTTTTGCTACTGTTTACAGCTGTATTATTTTTCTGTATTGTGCTTGATTTATTTTGTGTAACAGCTGGAGCCTTTGGAGGGAGGGAATTTATAAATGTTACAAATAAATAGGGAATGAATGCTTTCTAAGACATGCTGGATCAGTAACAAAGAGGTTTAATTTTCTTTCTTGTGTTTCGGTAGCCATGATCAATCATTCAAAGCAATGAATTCTATTCAATCACTTGTTAAATAAATAACACAGTATTGAGCTGAACTTATACCCTGCTTTTCTTTTATTTCAAGTTCAACTTCCAGCAGTTCCAAATGCTGACATCTTTGAGTCTTAACTGCTTAAAGGCCCTGTCGCCAATTAAAATATATTTGTTTCCTTATTTTTTCCCTACTCAGTCTCTATGAGGGACTTCAGAACATACAATCACTCCCAGTACTTCCATTTGTAACATCTGAAAGCAACTGTGTCGTCTTTTCTGAGATCATGTACATGTTGTACATGTAAGTATAGGGTCTCCTGTTCAAGCAAGAGGTTGGACTAGAAGACCTCCAAGGCCCCTACTATTATTCTATGTTCTATGATCCCAGGAAAGGTGGCAATTACATTTGGATATTAAAGTAAGTTTGTGTACTCCAAATCATATTCTGCAGAGCAAATAACAAACAATAAAAGAGGAATTAACTTTAAATAAACGAAAACCTTAAAGCAGGGGTGTCAAACTCAAGGCCCGGGGGCCAGATCCAGCCCACAGGGTACTTAGATCTGGCCTGTGGGGCCGCTCTGGAAACAGTGAAGGACCAGACTGGTTGGTAGTGCTTCAGCCAGCAAAAGCGGAGCTCGGGAGGGCCGGTTTCCTGGCAGAGGGTTGCAGGAGGCTGTGTCAGCCAAAAATGGAGCTCAGGAGGCTGTTTTCGCTGGCTCAGACCACCACAGTAGTGGTGGGTTGCCCCAGTTCAGACCAGTTCACAAGAACTGGCAGTAAAACTGGTGGGAGGCCCTGCCCACTGCCCCGGATGTCATTGTCAATCTGCGCATGCGCAGAAGCTTCTGCACATGCACAGAAGCAAGGTGTGCACAATCCCATTGCGAACCAGTAGTAAAGGTAAGTAGAACCCACCCCTGCACCATAGGTGCCCCTGACATGAGTGATGTTGAGCTGGCCATGCCCATCCTGTCCTCTGGAGGTCAAACACAACCCTGATGCGGCCTTCAATGAAATCGAGTTTGACACCTTTGCCTTAAAGCATTCCTTAGCCTTGCTCTGTGGACCACCACTTACCTGATCATATAACCATCCTCCATGCACATAGATATGTACAAACAAGCTATTTCCCCTGACTAAGCTCTCAATATCAGTGCTTGGACTGGTGGTGTGGAGGCAAACATAAGCTTTTGGCAGACACAAGCAGACCCTACTTTTGCAAATTAGTTGGATTTACGTCACTCCTTCAACCCAACATTAAGCAGCAATGCAGAACAATCCTGCTTTACAGAGTTACTGGTCAACAGCATTTTAACTAAACCCATTACCAAATCTCAGACCATGTGTTCTGTTCATAGTTTAGTGTCTTATGTGAACAAAGAAAATCAAGTTGAGAAAATTAGGATAATAAATTAGGGATATAATATGTCAACATGCTCTCTTAATTGCATAAGAAGACAACTAAGAAAAGCAACTATGATGCAAGTAGAACCTATTTTGAACTTTTAAAGAGGACAATATAATGCCAGATATTTGGCTAAATTACTGTCTTCCTGCTCCCACTATAAAGCTGAAAAAAATTATTTCCATTGCTTTCTCAATGCTGTGCAATTTCATGAAAACTTTCAATATGTTCACCTTGTTTATTGCTGAGTAAATGAATGATAGTATTTTTTCTTTTCTCTTTTTCTTCCTACTCAAGCTCATGTTTAAGGAATTTAAGCTTATATTATAATTAGAGCCAAAGGAGAAATCATTCCAAAGCCCACCAAAAAACTAGACAGTTAAAATAGATCCTATTCCTCAGACAACATGAAACAGAAAGAAAAGCTGTAATAAAGTTTGTACATAAACATTTCCCTGCACAGAATAACAATTGCCATCACCACTAGTTTTGGAAGTGGTTGAAATGGAAGAATTTACTACCCTGTTTCCCCCAAAGTAAGACACCCCCTGATAATAAGCCCGGTCGGGCTTTTGAGTGCAATAAGGCCAAGCATTTATTTCAGGGTTCAAAAAATATAAGACAGGGTCTTATTTTTGGGAAAACACGGTAATGGCTAGGTCTGAGAATTGTATTATTTGTGCACTGTAGTGTTAATGTTACACTAGAGATGGATAATGTTGGGAGATGAGCTTTTGGCACACATTGTAACTTCTAAATCAGCACTAATTCTCACGTTGTCTAGTTGTTACAGATTAGTGCATATCGAGAGCTCAGTTTCTTACTGCTGACTGTGCAAGACATCAATTGGAATTAATACAGCCGAAACCTACATGGTATGTGTAGTTTTGGTGGCATTTTCATGTAATTAGAAGATTCTTATGAAGGATGAGAAAATGAAATGACACCCAGTTTTTTGGGGGGAAATAAAGCGACACCCAGTTGTTTGCTACAGCTAAATTGAAAAGATTTTATTCTATATGAAAATGGAGAGTCCAGTTCAAAAATTAAACAGAGTAACATTAATTTGGAAGAAACTCACAATGATCATATGTCTTTTATTATAAAGGACAGTATTTCAGAACGTTGTCCTTTAGATTTAATTATTTGTTATTGGTTTTGTTCTTGAATTTTTTTTAAAAAAAAAACCCAATAAAACTTTTTTTAAAAAAAAAATTAACCTTATGAAGCTCTTTCAGATTTTTGCCTTTTCCAGGTTTGCCCGCCCCCCAGGAAAATATGGTCACTGTAAGCAAAGGGCAATGGAGACCAGGTAAGTATTCTCTACTTTAAATTCCTTCCTCTAAGCACACCAAAAATGGTGTAAACTTGAACTGTGTTCCTTAAAAGAGATTCGGGAGTAAGAAAAGGAAAAAAGGAATTTTAAAGACAATGCAAGATATCCAGGACTTTGCTAATTTCATCTCAACCCAGTAATTTCCTGCTATTTTGCTGGTAGGACTTTGTTGCTGCAGTGAAACAAAAGTGCCAATCCAACCAGTCCAGTTGCAATGGAATAGTCTTAGGTGACCTGCTGTTGGAGATGGCATACAAAATGAGGAATGGGGGAGAAAACTTCTCAATCCTTGCAGCAAGATGAGAAACCTACAATTCTTGGTTAAATTGAAACCCTTGAAGTCATTCCTAGAAGTTCTACATGCAACATTATTCTTCTGTCACATGATTCCTCTCACTATCCAATGGGATGGGTAGGAGGGGAAATGGAACCACCCATTCTTGGTTCTAGTCCCATCTCTGTTGTCATGAAGCTTTATACAGATTACATCTCCCTCCCCTTTCACTCAAGAATGATGCAGTCCTCTTGACAGAAGGTGGGAGGGGGAGGGAAAGCTTCCCTACTAATAAAGGAGCTTGGCTCTAACAGATCCTTTATATATTAATTCTATTTTCATTCTGCCTAAATTTGACTCTTGAGTGACTCACAAAAATATAGAGCAACATAAAAAAATATAATAAATTAACCTGTTTATCAAATATACCAAAAGAGCTACAAAATAATTAGAATATGGCACTCCAGGCAATGTATCATCACATAGAATATAATGACCAGGGGAGTCCCATCTAGTCTTCCTCAAGGCCTGGGAGAGTAGTCAGGTCTTCAACACCTTCTTCAGCACCATCGGGGGGAAGCCAGATGGATCTCAAGGGGGAAACCTCATTCCAAAGGGCAGGTGTGCTACGTAGGTGAACGTCCTGAGTCCTGAAATATGGCATGCATGCTCTGCCAGATTATACCAGACGGAAAGCATAGGAGACAGTCAGTCAGTCAAATAACCTGATCCTGTGCCATGAAGGTAATAACTGCTGTGGTCCGCCAGCAGTCTGTGGAGCTGGCAGCGGAGTCGGATAGTGAGGAGGCTGGGGAATCTAGGGAAGGCCTGGATGAGGGCTCTGTGTTGGAGGCAGAGATGGGGCCAGGCCATCTGGGAGTGATGCGCAGACTCGGGAGCCTCCAGAGTCAGACAGCAGAGAGGCAGAGGGATAGGAGGAGCCTGTTCCTAGTGCGTGCATGCGCAGAGCTGCCAGAAGGCACAAACAATTAATCAGGAGTAAGGCCTGGAGATGATTGGCCCCTTCCATAAGGCTTAAAAGAGGAGCAAAGGCATATGGGCACTTTGCAGGAAAGCAACATTGTTAATTCTGTTCCCAGTAGGCATCTTTGTTTGATTCTGGACTCCGTGTCTTTGCCAAGATGGTCTTTGGCAGCGTGTCAAAGGAGATAAAGGTTGGTGATTATCCTGAAGGACTTCTCCCGATTGCAACTAATTGGGACTCAGCTGTGAATGAAAGTAATTCACAGCTGTTGCAATGAGAGGTTTTTGGGTCTACTCATGTGTTTTAATGACTCAGTAAGCCTAGGTCACAATAACCAGCATGTTGAATTGCTCCCCAAAACACATTAACCAATAGACCTTGTAGAGGTGAGTTGTCACATGGGCATAATGAGGTAAGACCATCATTGCTTGTGTTGCTGCATTCTGGACCAGCTGAAGTTTTCGAGTAGTCTTCAAGGGCAGCCCCACATAGAGTGCATGCATTAATGTTCTACATAAGGCAGTGAGTAGACAAGGATGTGAATGGTTGTCTTGTGGACTGACCAAGTCCTATGCTATCTGTTTTTGCTTCTACAAAACCATGTTGAGCAATGTTCACCTCACCTCACCAATTGAAATCCAAAGCAATTTTTACTTTACTACCCTTCACCCAGATAGCGTCACTCTCTTACAAAGTTGCATGTTGAATCCAGGCCTTGAGATTAAGCTTAATCCAGTCCTGTCCTTTATGCAGGTATATTACTGCAGCAGCCCCAAACAATGGTAATTAAAATTCTCCTTAAATACCTCAGTTGTCTCAAATTTGGTGTTATGTATCTTTACGTATTATTAAACTTTCATAATTTAAATGTAAATTTAAATTCTATATTTTTACTTCTATATTTTACTCATTATTCTATATATTTACTCTTTTTTATTTAAAAGGAAACTGTTTAGATAATTCATTGTGGCACTTAAACAGAAACTCTGTAAAAAATTTAAAAAAAGGATTAGTCTGAATTCTGAGGTGTTTTATTTCTTGATTTGGGAGAAGTAATTTGTTGTAAAGAATTGAACAAAATTATGGACACAGTAAAAAAAAAATCTAAGCTAAACATGAATAGTCTAAATTCAAGAATTCTAAGTATTCTCCAGGCAATATATAAAGCTGTCCAAAACATTACATTCCTAGGACTAAGGATAGCTGCATTGACTTCATTTTTTTTTTTTTTAAATATAGCATCAGCACCCTCTAGTGGATTTCAATTTTAGAAGCTTGGCAAAAAAGTAATAATAAAAGAAAATGTTAGCTAAATGTGTCTATAGAGATTCTTAAGTCATCCAGATCATGGTTGTTCCAAAGGTGCTTTTTCAAGAGGCAACTGGACTTTCTGGTTTTTCTTTGAAGACGTTTCGCTTCTCATCCAAGAAGCTTCTTCAGCTCTGAAGCAAAACATCTTCAAAGAATAACTAGAAAGTCCAGTTGCCTCTTGCAAAAGCACCTTTGAAAAAAAATGTAAGCTACCGTGTTTCCCCAAAAATAAGATCCTCTTATATTTTTTTTGAACCCTGAAATAAGCGCTTGGCCTTATTTTCGGGGAGGTGTTATTATTTTGGGGTGTGTGGAGCAAGACAGGGCTCCTCTTGCCATCTTACCTGATTTCCAGCTGTTTCCCTAACCCTACCAGAGGAAATGGTGGGGACCAGCTGTGCATGCGGTGAAATATTTTCGGGGAGGTCTTATTTTCGGGCAGGGGGGGTTATTTTAGCGCATGTGCTCAAAAGCCCGATTGGGCTTATTATCAGGCGATGTCTTATTTTCGGGGAAACAGGGTAGTTATCAAATCCTTTTTCTTTCCTTTTAATTGTGATTCTACTTTATGAGATATACTATATCACATTTCCTTTGGGAACTGTATTTGTAAACTTATCTAGACCAACAGAAGTTTCTTTTGTTTCTTCTTATTTAGCGTAAGTAGGTTAGGACCAGTGGTGGGATTCAGCCAGTTCTCACCACTTCGGGGGAACCGGTTGTTAACTTTCTGAGCAGTTTGGCAAACTGGTTGTTGGAAGAAATAATTAGGGCAGAGAACCGGTTGTTAAATTACTTGAATCCCACCACTGGTTAGGACTACATAGAGTAGGGAGGTCCCACACATAAAAGAACATTGGGGAAAAGTCATTGTTTGAAACAGGCTGCTAAAACTTATTGTGGCCAATCCAGTTCTATTGCTCAACAAATGCTCATCAACGTAAGTATTCCTGCTGAGCGCAGAAGATCCCCATTTGCATCAGCCTCCTAAACAAAGATAGGTTGACACTACAACAAAAATGAAAGTAGAAATGTTTTCTTAATTTTTTTTTAAGCAAATGTTTTATTATTGAAATACCCGCCCATTATTTGTTAAATCTGTACATGCATTTGTTTCAATTGGAAGTGGTTTCTAAAAACAAAAACAAAAAAAATCCAAAATGACTCCAACGTTCTTCTATTCAGAGCTGAATCCAAGAGAACAAGAACCATCGCATAAACACCTTATCAGTGAAGTTTATCAGATGAAGCATGAAGTGATGCATACACAGCCTAGCATTACAATCCATTCAAAAATGAAACAGCGATTGGTGGATGATGGCAGTAGAGCCAACCTGGACCATTGTTTCAAATAAAATGACTCATGTTTGCTAGAATGTTAATGTGAAATTATTCAAATGATGGACTGTGAATCATCCAACTGTCTTACTGCACAAAATCTATCAAATTCACCCCTTGTTACAGTTAAGAACTTATAATATTTGCAAGGTAGGAAAGCATGGGAATGCAGGTACTCTTAACTAGATTTGGTCTCTAAATTAACTCAGACCCATTTCATTCTCCCGCAATAGACAAAGATCAAGTTTCCTATTTGCAAAAACTACCTTCTGTGCCGTGAGATGATGGAATGAAGCATTCATACTTTGATCTATACATTAATAATTGTTAATGTAAGGAACCTGTAGTTCTGGACATGTTAACTTTTCCTGGTTGCCTTCTTTGACACACCTCAAATAGAAGCTCTCCATGCAAAACCAGAGCCATGGTGTCAGGAGAGAATGCTAATGATACTGTGACCACAATCTGGACTTTCTTTTTCACAGTTTTATGTACTAGCAGCTGTTCCATAATCTGGGAAGGAGAGATTTCCCTTACAAAACTGGGCTGTTTCCTTGCATTCACCTTAGAATATAGATGCTTGCATGGCTTTTGAATAGAGAAGCATCTCCCAGATATCAACAGTAAGTTCTTCACAGTGACTCCTGCAACATGGGTTCTGGTGGCAACTACAGTGATTCCAAGGTCACAGGATCCCCAACTAGAGAGGCAAGAAGAGCTATGTACTTTCCTTGGTACATATAAACTAAAGGCCAGAAAAAGTGTTCCCTGCCACTACTGGCATGAAGAATAATCAATTCTGTATAAGTTCACCATAATAAAGAGAAGACAAAATTACAGAAGATTCATACTAATGTGAATGGAAATATATATATATATAGTCTCCATCACCACCTCAAATAAAGTTGGCAAACCAGGAGTAGATGTCAGAGAGCCAGGACAGATTCATCCTTGGAGATGCGGTCACTAAAATGACTCCAATGTAATGTACTCCCAAAGGGAGAAGTATGGCAGAAATGAGAAAAAATGATATCAGATTTTCCATATCATACATTCCTGTTTCAAAAGGTAAATGGTGGTATTTTAAGCTTGGTGCCTTACAGTCCAATTCTTGATCTGGCTGGTGTCAATTCAATAGATCAGAGGAACTGAAGCTAAAAAAGATAGAGGCATCCGATTATTTAGAAGAGAGATGCTCCTCTCTACAGCGTGTTTTTCTAAAAGCATGTGATTAAAAAAATATCAAACCACAACAGCTAGAACCCCCTCCCTCCAAATCTTCCTCGATGAACAGTATAAGGATTATGTACATATAGCAAACAGCTGCAACAATTGGAATATGTGAATACTCTAAGCTTAGTCACACTCGACAAATGTGGATAAAAGGAAGGGAGGAAGAGGTGCTGGCAATAAAGGTGCAGGATATCTCACAAGGAGGAGAAGATTTAAATGGCCTGTTTCATAAAAGAAAGTCAAGAGATAAAAGGAGACTGCCCAAGTCCCTCAAATAATTCATCAATACCGCACAACCTAATTGAACTGCAGCAACACCGCAGAGTTGTCACCAGAGGGATGAAGACAGTCTGGATTTAAGAAAGGGGCATTTTGTATGTTCTGGGGCAGCTCTCAAGACCATCAGTCTCTCAGTACTTGGGCACTTTGGTGTAGTCTTCAGTGTGAATGTTCTTGCAGAGGCAGATAGAGAGCACCATTCCCAGCAACTGCAAGAGAAAAAAGGAAGGAAGGATGAAAAGGCTGGTCCTTTCACTTATAAAGAAATGGGGAATCCCTGGACAGAATTTAGCTTTTCAGATTTACACCAAACACATTCATATAATGGAATGTAAGAATAAGCCAAAGCGTGTTTTCTGGTTTTAGCAAGAGCACTTAGAGTTATATACTGTACCGCTTCATAGTGCTTTTAAAGCCCTCTCTAAGTGGCTTACAGAGTCAGCATATTGCCCCCAACAATCTGGGTCTTCATTTTACCAATCTTGGAAGGATAGAAGACTGGGTCAACCCTGAACCAGGGAGAATTGAACTGCTGAACTGCTGGCAGTCAGCAGAAGTAGCCTGCAGTACTGCATTCTAACCACTGCGCCACCACATGTTTTATTTCAACACCCTTTACCTTCTCAGTCTTCTTGGTTCTCCTCCTCCTGTCAAAACTGCAATTATAAGCTCCTCCAGAGAGGGAGCTATATTTTTCTAGCATTACTATAAAAAACACTTTCATTCTTGGATGAGTTTTGCTACAGTTAGTTCTTGCTTACTGTCGGTCATTGGGACTGGGAACTCCATTGCTAAGTGATACATTCATAATGTGGGGCATCACATGACTGCATCAATTTATGACGATAGTTCCAGTAGTCCCCATTGCTGTTGTTAAGCGAATCCTATGAGTTGCAGCGTTCCAAAGTCACAAAATTTCCACCTGCAATCTCCTGCCTTATTCCCCATTGACTTTGCTTGTTGGAAGGTGGCACAAAATGTGATCACATTTTGATATTGCAACATTGTAATTGCATGCAGGTTGCTGAGCATACAAATAGTGACCACATGATTGTTGGATGCTGCAATGAACACAACTATAAGAACCCCTCATAAGTACCCTTTGTTCAGCATCATTGTAACTTTGAACAGTCACTGAATGAGGGGACTGCTGCATTTAGTTTCACATATTTAATAAAATGTTCCAAATAAAAATGTAAGAAGCAGCTAATGAACCATATTCAGCCTGCCATGATCAATATAGTCGATTTGTCATCATATTGAAACATGTCAGGACAAAAATGCAGCATCAGCAGATAGGAATTCATACATAATAAAAATGAAAATCAGAAACTTGCTGAGCTGAGGTAAATCTCAATCAGCCATGGGAGAAAGAACGATCATTCTAATTGAGAGACTGCTACAAAAAAGATGTAGAATTGTAGATGGAGCAAATAACCAGATCTCCTCAGATATTTGGGTCTTTTGGTTTGGATCCATTTACATCTGGTTTGTAGTATCTCCCTCAGGGGCATTCTCTCTCACTTCCCCTTTTGCATCTTTGTTTTCAATCACAAACAATAATTGTTAGTGTGAATGAATTGAAGCTGGCAGGAAAACTTTCAATCAAAGCTATCCTCTTTAAAAGGCTCCAATCATCAGGTAGATCTAGATTTTTTTTAAAAAAATAAATGTTCTTTTAGCCAAGACATAATAAAAACTAAGGAATAGAAAGACCAATTCATACTTTTTGGAAAATTGATTATGGAGAATATATTTAAGTACATTTTTCACTTGGATATCACTTCTGGATTTTGTGCCCATGATGAAAAAAAATATGAAACTTTGACTTTTGTTTTGTCGATCAGAAAGATTTGTCATTATAGAAATGGCTAGGTATATTCTAATGTGTAAAAGCAAAAAGTTGAGGCTAGAGTGTTTTTATCTTGTATTGTGCTAAAAAGAGTCGGAAGTCAACGCCTTCCCCTCCCCCTTTTTTTCCCCTTGTACCTCACACTTTCTTTTTCACTGTCTTTTTCCTTCCCCTAATTTCCTATTTCTATTTTTCTTTGTATTTTATATATTAAATAAATAAATAATAAAAAAGGAAAATTGATTAACTTCCACCAAGTACCAAGTATTCATAGGCCAAAGAGCCAATGTACTGTACTTACAGAGAATATTTTGCTTTGTTTGTAATTATAAACAGTCACTAACAAAAAAGTTTACAAAATGCAGGAAAATGAACACCTACCTCAATGACCGCAACCCCCGTGCACACTCCAAGGATGATGCCAAGGTTGTCTTGTAACCAATTCTGCACACCTTTCATACATCCCTGGAAGATACGTATCACATCTGATTTACCAAGATTGTAAGATTATGGATAATAATTACCAAAGCAGGACAATGTTATTGAGCTAGAACAGGGGTCAGCAACCTTAAACACTTAAAGAGCTATTTGGACCCATTTTCCACAGAAAAGAAAACGCCGGGAGTCACAAAACCTGGGTAGTGACTTGACATCACTCACTCCCACCCAGTCACATGACACCCACACACACACCAGCCATCCCTACCCAGCCGGTCATTAGGGCAGAGAACCCACTGTTAAATTATTTGCCACACCAGCACCCCCCCCTCCCTCTTTCTCTCTCTTGCAAGAGGCAACTGGACAGCAGAGAAATACATTTATCTGAAATTTTAACTATACGACACATAACAAGAAACTGTGTCAGGGAGAACCTGTTATGACCTATCACTACTTAGTTTCAATGTGAGGAATTTCAATCACTCTTTCACAACTTGACTTCTCCCTGATGGTACTGGATTTCTTTAACAGCACAACTCCGGAATGATAGGCGTGTAGTGCAAGTAGCCTTAGAGAGCCATCGCATCCTTATTTATTCCTTCCTTCCTTCCTTCCTTCCTTCCTTCCTTCCTTCCTTCCTTCCTTCCCCTCTCCTCTGATTTCACTTCTTTCCTTTAATCCTTAATATTATGGTTCATTATTGTTAGTATTTATTAAAGAATGCTGTGTAGCTTAGAAGCTCTCAGCAAAAGTAACAGCAGCTGTTCTTTGTGGCTGAAGCTATCCTGGGCTGTTATTTTCTTTCTTTCTTCCTTCCTTCCTTCCTTCCTTCCTTCCTTCCTTCCTCCCTCCCTCCCTCCCTCCCTCCCTCCCTCTCTCCTGCCCAAATTTTGACCAATTTCCTCTCCGATCTCCTGATGAACAGATCCCACCCCCCTTTTTGGACTCTGGACCACCGGGCCTTTATTTTCCCCATTTATTGGGGGAAATTGGATTTTTATTGAGTCTTCCCCCTGCCCCATGCCAAAAGGAAAGCCAGCTGGGCCAGCTATTTTGGATAAGGCCAAAATAAATTAGAAAGCTATTATTTTCTCTTTATTCCAGGATTCTCTATCTCTGACAAACAAGGATTTTTTTCCAGGATATCTTATTTCCTTACTGCTGACTTGTGACCCAATTAGAGTCCTAAGGGATGTTGGACACTGAATGTGAACCATACCCATTAGAAATACTTCTGCACTAGAGGAAAAAGCAGCACTTATATATTCAAAGTGAAAAAGTAAATTTTGGAGCCAATAAAGTAAACTTAAGAACTGCATATTATAAAAATCTATTCCAGGATTTTGTCACCAAAAAGTCATTATCAGGATGTATCTTGAAAACTCACAAAATATACTGCCAAGATAATAGCAACGCCAAGACTTTTATTTTGGAGAATGACGGGGAATTGGGAGTTTGTAATCATGTCAAGGAGATGCCCGTGGTTATATTCACATACCTCTTTCAACACTTTGCCTTCAACCAGGAAGACAACTGAGAGCAACTCAAAAGTCATCAAAAAGAAGGCAAGATTTTATATTCTCCTCCCAAAAACTTTTCAAACCAAATGCCAAACAAAATGAGAGTGAAGGGAAGAAGAGAAAGCAGGTAAACAAAAGCTGCCATCATTCATTCATTCATTCATTCATTCATTCATTTTGTCAAGCATATATAAGATAACAGGTAAAAGTATAAACATAATTTGAATACATGAAAAGAGTAAGTAAAAAGGAATATTAGGACAGGGATGGTAGGCATGGTGGTGCACTTATGCACGCCACTCTTTTCTTTTAAAAATCAAGAGACTTCTGGACAGAACTTCCCAAAATGAGGCACTCACCTGCTTTTTAACTGGCCAGTCATCCACTGTTGAAGAGTTGGAAAAAGTATTCAGGGAGCAGAAACCCACTTCGGCCAGGGAGTTAAAGGAGTCATTGAAACAAGAGCAAGGATAGAGTGTCTGGTTTCTTTCCTGAAGAACTGTGTTGTTTTTCCAAGTTTCTGGCCCAGTCCAACCACAGCATTGCAACTATGTTTAAAAGAAAACATCACCTTGTTACTTCCTGTTCAGTGTCACAGGGCCATTTTGTCAACTATCGAAACGACTCTAACTGAAGCCATAAAAGTTTCTTGTTTCGTTTTTCAGTTGCCATGCTTGGGGGGGGGGGAAAGGAGAGAGATTTGTGGAATGTAGAATGTTTCCTTTCAGAGTGCCAGACTATAACACTGATAAGGCTGGTGAGAGCTTGAAGCTGACCCAGCGTATCCTAGCAACGGCAGGATGGGAGTACTAAGAGGCTCATCACGTACTTGGTTGGGTAATGTGATCTGGGACACCAGAAGGGTGGCCAGTATCTATCTTTTAATTATGCCAGAATTGGCTTGACTTTTGAACCTGCCGATATGATGTGCCCAATAAACAAGATCTTTGAAAAAGCAACAGCCTCCGAGTCTTGAACTAATTGGGAGCATTACTCGGAACCAAGACACATTTTGTTTGAGAGGATTCTTCTGCTTCTCTCTTTTGCTAACTATTACACTTTCTTTAGTGGAATTATCTTGCTTAATAAAATTCTACGAGTAGCTTACAATTATTTAAAAAAAAAAAAACACCAGCAAAAATTGCATGGACTTGTCCATGTAGTTGCCAAGAATCAGAATTGGACAAACAAAACAAAACAAACCACACCTTCGCTATAACATAGCAACACTCACTTCCCTTTACAATCTAAGATAGTAAAACTCAAGCAGCAAATGCCACATTAATTGATTCGATAGATAAGATGAAGTTAGCTATTTTGTGAGTTTGGAATAAATTTTAAGGAGAAAAAAAATAGTAGCAAGTCTCATAAAAGCAGAATCCTCCTCCTTACCCCTTAGTCACATTAAAGGCAAAATATATCAAAAGTTAATATCTGCAGGATCCCTATATTTACACTGCTATGTCAAATGCATCTCTATTAATTCTAGAGAATTTATTTCAATCTGTACAATTTACAAAATGCCAACAAAATGTCCCCCTTTTAGAGATTTAAAATGATTCTACTTGCCACGCTAGAAAAATAAGCAGGAGTGGGTTGAGTTTTTTCCCCCCCTTTGGGTAACTTTGGGAGTCACTTTATGTGTGTTGGGCAGCTGTATACATTTATTTAATAAATAAATGTTATAATTTTCACTGTTAGGTGTGAGATGGGTAGCATATTTTATAGCCATTATTACAATTTTTATTATTAAAAATGAATAGGCCTCTCATATGAAAGCACATATGAAACCACTTCACCTGTCTGGAAATGTGAGAAGTTCATTGTGATAGAACTGTGTCAGACTATCTTCAGAAATGGTGCTATTAATAAGAAGTCAAGGACTTCTATGGAAATGGCTTACAGATCAACGGACAGAGCTGCTGACTGAGGAGCTGCCTCCATATAAGGTCTATTAAGAATTCCTTAACCAAAATGGCATTATAGTACACTGAAGCTGGATGCAACTTTTCCAGCACCCTGTTTGCTTGTGAATTTCCTATCCAGTTTCAAATGGAGGGTAACAATTGTAAAACCCAACATAGCCACCAACAAAATAGATGCTCTCATAAAGTTATATATTCTTCCACTTCCACAGTGTCATCTGTTAGTTCTGGAATGGCATTCTGGAACAGCAGGCAGTTAGATTTCATTCTGCTTGAAGATCTCCAGATCCAATGCAATGCCCTGAATTGCTAGTTCTTTGAAAGTGATTGACGAAATATGTTATAGAGGCACTTCCCAGTCTTATTCATAAACACCAGCTTGAGGACAATTGTTAAGAATAGCCAGTCACCAAAAGATGGAGCTCTTCTACTATTCTCTCCCTTTTGCTTGTGGTTGAAATAGGATTATATAAAAAGTTGGCAAGACTTTTAATTTGTGAAGAAAGACCAAGTAGGCCTTAATTATATAATATACTGTACTGTATGTAAATAAGAGCTGGTTTGCTGTTGGGAATAGAATATATAAATAGAAACCTGCTGAAAATGTTAATAGTAATCTATGCAATAGTTACAAAACCGTGAGAAGAAATTATAACTTTTGGACCAACTGAGAGTTTACTTATTCCTAAGTAGCTAAAATGAATTTCATTATTTCATTTCTGGTTTTCAAAGACCATAACTGACGTTATGTTTTGACTTGGAGATAGTCTACAGGTTTATGTTTTATGATAAAACACACATTAGTCTGTGAACTAATAGATCCAATTTAAATATCCCCAATTAGTTTAGGAAGAAAACCAAACTCAAATGTCTCTCATATTGAATGAATGCAATATAATCTCTAAAACAGAGTGATGAGAATCTGAGTGGATAAAGAATTAATTAAACACCAATGTCGAATTAACCTGATGCTGAGCTTGTCTATCGAAAGGTCGGCAGTTCAGCGGTTCAAATCCCTAGTGCCACGTAACAGGGTGAGCTCCTTTACTTGTCCCAGCTTCTGCCACCCTAGCAGACATTCGGATCAGCAGAAAAAGGTAACGCCTAAGGGAAATTCGTCCTTAATTCCAGCGTAAAGATTGCATAAAGCCTTAAAAGCCAATTTATCTCCTTGGACTTTGAAAAAGCAGGATAGAGTAGAAAAAGCATTAATACTTTTGAACTTTGGTTTGGAGAAGACTCCTGAGAATACTATAACAAAGAAGAAAAAAACCAAAACAAATGCATCATAGAATTAAATCAATCCAAAACTCTTATTCAGAGCTCAAATGATTTGGGTCAAATTATCATATGTTGAATACTTTATGCAAACAACTATAGTTCTTTTGAAAAACCTACAGTATAATGCTAGGAAAGGAAGGATAGTGAAAAAGAGAATGGCCAACAGCAAGGTGGATGGACTCAGTTACAGATGAATGCACCATCAGAAAACCTGAAGGACCAGATTAGGAACAGACTATGTATCATTATTAAAAGACAACTTCATGGCACATAATCCAGCTCTTTATTTATCTATATCCTACAAATATCTGGACCAAGTCAATATAACTGGAAACCTCTTAGAGCTAACTAGTCCCAGTTTTATTTTTTGTTGGCTTCTTACCAACCAGATGCTGTGATAAGCTGAAACTATATTAGATGGCATTATAGGCTACATACAGAAGAACTGGTGTTTAAGCCAGTTGGGTAAGAATGACTGGAGTACAGAGATGGTTGCTGTCAAGAGCCATCAGTACTAGGCAGATTATGGGGGCCACCAGTACCGACCTCAACAATGTATATAAACTGTGTCATTGAATGATTCAGGAGCCCTGGTTTATGTGAAGCCTACAATTAAAAATATGAAATAAACCATGTCTGAATTTATAAGAAAACTGTCTGTGGACCTTGAATGGCAACAAGTTTTCACATATGGAACTCGCTAGTAAATGCGGTCACAGTGTTGAAAATGTATATATAAATACATTGCCATGATGCAGCTTTGCACCTTGTAGTAATTGAACACGTGGACAATTCCGGCATGCTTCATTTTTCTGTGGTAACACCCAAAGTAGATCTCATGTACAGGACATGCCAAACTTTACATCTGGCAAATTAGATATTGCATAATTATTCACACATGTTGATGGATCCATATTCTCCACACATGTTCAATTTGAATTGGACTAGGACTGGAGAGATTCAGGTTCAAGTCTCTGCTCAAGTAAGAAACTCAATGATCTCAACTCTCTGTCTAATCTAAGTCACTGAATTAAAAAATAAAATACGAAGAGGAAATTATGTATACTGCCTTGAGCTTCTAAAGCAGTGTTTTTCAAACTTGACCTCCTTAAGATGTGTAGATTTCAATTCCACGCATCTTAAATTCCCCAAGTTGAAGTCCATCTTCTAGGAGTTGAGGTCCATATATCTTAAAGAGGCCAAGTTTGAAAAACACTGCTCTAGAGAAAAAACAGGTTGGGATTGCAGTGACTGATTGAATAACTTCCTTGGATATATAGTAGAACTCCATATCATGAGCATTGTTTGGTGAAAAGAGATTTTAACAAATAAGTACCTCAACAGGATCTCCTGCTTGTACCTTTGTACTGGGCATCTTGAGAACAATACCAGAGGAAAACAAAAAGACAGTATATTGATGATATGACCCACACGTTGAAAGCAACGTGTTCCTCATATATAGAACTTGTGTTTGGTTCATAAGGTTCTTTATCCACTTACTTCTGCCTGTAGCCAATCTTCACATATCAATATTAATTTATGATTAAATTAGATGAAGATCACTGTTGATGTTACTATTCTCATTCAAGAAAAAGCAATATGTATTATTGACAATACCACTAACAGCCTCATTAACTCTTGCATTGCAACTTACTTGTAACTGGACATAGTCCCAAGCATTTTCAAGGGTCCTATTGTTGTCATCATAAGGATCGTAATTCTGGACAAGTTCACTAACAATCCCAGACATTTCCGCTTCAAGCTAGTAAAAATAATACAAAAAAATAATTAAGCACTGGTCCTGTGATTATTGATCCCATCTTACATTTAAAGATATACAAATTATTTGAACTTTATTCCATAATAAGGGAACCTTTTCATTTTTTGATGTAGCCCCAGATGTGTCCTCCAGCATGTCCTGCAAGTAGGAATTAGAGAGAAGGAAAGAGAAGGAGGAACAACAACAGCAAAAAATTTCTCTGTCAACAAAAAGAAAGGAAGGGACAAGTCAGAGCATTTCATTCAACACTGAAGGTCTATGTTTTATTTAAAATGAACCTGTTTTTCCAAAGAGCAAAGGTTATAATCCATCCAAAGAATTCCTTTCAACTCCTCTCATGGCAGCTTTTTCTTACACAAATAGGGCATGGCTAGTCTAGTGAAGAGAAGAGAAGGACCAAGGGAGACATGATAGCAGTGTTCCAATATTTGAGGGGCTGCCACAGAGAAGAGGGGGTCAAGCTGTTTTCCAAAGCACCTGGAGGCCAGACAAGGAATAATGGATGGAAACTGAACAAGGAGAGATTCAACCTAGAAATAAGGAGAAATTTTCTGATAGTGAGAACAATCAACCTATGGAACAGAAGTTGCCTTCGGAAGTTGTGGGAGCTTCATCACTGGAGGCTTTCAGGAATTGGACTGCCGTCTGTCAGAAATGGTATAGGGCAGTGATGGCTAACCTTTTTGCCATCGCGTGCCAAAAGTGGGGGGGTGCAGGGGGTCGCGCGTGCCCACACCCATAATTCAATCAGCCCCTCCCCCCACGCATGCACCTGCAACACACACGCACCCCCGCACTCCCCCTTTCGGCAATGGCACAGTGGGCCCAGTAGGCCCATTTTTCACCCTCCCCAGGCTCCAGAGGTTTTCTTGGAGCCTGGGGAGGGCGAAAACAGTCTTCCCCACTCCCCTGGAGGCCAGAAACGGCCAGTTTCCCAACTTCCGGTGGGCCCAGAAGGCTAGAAAATCAGCTGGCCAGCGCGTGCATGCATGCTGGAGCTGATCTAGGGCAATGCTCGCATGCCCACACGTGCCATAGGCTCGCCATCACGGGTATAGGGTCTCCTGCTTGGGCAGGGGGTTGGACTAGATGACCTACAAGGTTCCTTCCAATTCTATTAATCTGTTAATCTACACAGATAAACACACATGCACGAGTGTGCACACACACACACACAGGGCCTTAGACACCTAAGTCTACTATCATGTTGGCTGTTCTTGGAGTCTGCTGGATCACCCCATTTTTCAGGACTTCAGAAAGATGCCACCTTTTGTGAGAGAATGGTAAAACCAGAACAGAAGTAAAGGATGTCACCCTTAAGATGCCTTAGGGATATTTTTTCTGAAACTTACATGGCTTTGAAAAAAAACATAGAGATATGGATTTCTAGGAAGTCAATATAGGCCTAAAGTTAGTTAGTTAGTTTGTTTGTGTCCCACCTTTGCTATTTTTATAAATAACACAAATCATAACCAACACACCTTCTTCCTCCTATTTTCCCCACAACAACAACCTGAAAGAGAGTGTCTGGCCAAAAGTCATCCAGCTGGCTTTCATGGCTAAGACAGGACTTACAAAAGGTTACAAAAGGAAAAGGCACAGTGGCTAAAAACGATGTCTAAGATGTGATGATGTAATTGTTAGCTATTCTATTAGTATCTTAAGAACAAATATGAATATCAGCCTGTTGGTGCTGAGCACTAAACTCACGGGGTTCATATTGTGGCAATTAGACAATATGGCAGCCACAGATTAAAGAAAGAAACTCAGGCAAACAAGTTCTTGCAAAATATAGTTGCTGCAAGATATTGCCAACTGCTACAGATTTGGAAAGAAGACATCTGCCTTTTTGTTTTTAGGACACATGTCTGAGCAAACGGCAGAAACCTCCTGCTGCGTGAGCCCAGCAAGTGTCAAGTCAGCAAAATGCAAACTCATCTCTTGAGCTATGAATGGCACAAGTGTCTGGATTACTATCTGCCAACTGCAAAGACGATGTCAGACAAGAACAGTAAAATGTTTCACAATTTCCTCTTAGTGAAACTGGAAATTACCACAAAGGTCAAAAGTTTCCATTAAAAATTAACTTTCTGGGGTCAAGTCAAACTGCAGTCCATGCTTTCAATTTTTACTTCCTCTACTAGCACCAAAAACTAAGGTATACCTGATACTACATAGAAGAATGTAAAAGGAATGCAATTTATAGTTATTTGAATATTGTGCAAGGTTTTTTAAAAAAAATTATATTGCACCATGTTAAACATAGAGGGTCTTATAGTTATTGATCAATGTAGAATTTGTCCTTTTTTCAATTTGCTATAATAATGGACATGATAAGAAATGAAAATCTTCCTGTCCAGTACAGACATACTGTGATCAGGAAAATTAACAATACTAACATAAACTCAGGACTATTTGCTTTTTGAAAATGCATTAATGTTAGACACTATGGGCACCAAGTGAGAAAATTTCTTTTATTTTCTTTTTCATTTACTGCAGTGCTTTTATTTTCCTTTCACAATGAAGTGTTGGGCTGTTTACAATTCTCATTTTCAGGATGACTTGCAAATGTTGTTTTTCTACTGTCATATGACAACGTTAAGGCAACTCATGAAAATCTTATATAAATTAAACTTGAAAAATATTTTCTGAGGAACTTGGAGAGCTACCCAGAGATTTATCTTTTTCTCTTATTCTGGCCTATCAGAGCAGGGACAGAGGGATGAATATGCAGGGAGCACTGCAATATCAGTCTGTGATATTTTCAACCTACATTAAATGAAGTTTCCATCAGCTATTTTAACAAATGGAAATAATTTGCACAAACTGAATACCGGCTAGTGAACTGTATGACTGAATCTGGGTTCAAAGAGCAACGTAACAATATCAATATATCAATATGTATGTATGTATGTATGTATGTATGTATGTATGTATAAATTACATGAATGGGTCTTTAAGCAACTTGGAGAAAACTTAATTCAAAGACAATTTAAAGATTAACGGATCCATCAATGAATCTTTCCAATGAATAATTCATTAGATCTAAGCTCTAAACACACTCATGAAGTTTTAAAGCAAGCATTATAGAAGGGGGGAAATGCCTCCATGTCTCTGAATGAAAATGAAGAAACAATATATGGAATTTAGCAAATTCCTTCAGCCTAAATGCAGAAATATGGAATATAAATTAACCCAGTGTAAGAGAGGACAGATGGCTGCTTTCCCACCCAGCAGTCACATTATAGTTGAAACTTAGCCACTTTCATAATCCAAAATACTGGGAAGGAGAACACAGTCTGGTATTCTGAACCTCTCCTGCCAACAGAATCTCCATTTAGTTTCCTCAGAGGTTTCCCCACAATAGGCAAAAGAAGAAGAAAAACAGGGCTTCATCAATCCCTGTTATTAAAGCAAGCCTGAAGAAACACATGTAGCCTTCCATCTTTACTGCACACATCTACTGCCACATGTAGCTTCCATATTTACTCCACAGATGCTAAAACCAAAACCTTGATGGAAGAAAAAAAGGGGGGGAGGGGAAGAAATGAGTGATAGAAGCAATTACACTCTAGTGCCAGGAACAAATTTATGCAAAACCTCCCAGATTCCACAAGTCGAATTTCGCAACGACCACTCACTTTTTCCAACATTACGCATTATTGAAAGTTCTCCTAGCACATACTTAAATTCATTACTCTCCATTGCCACATTGACTTCTGTAAGTCAAGATATTGGGGGGAAGGGGTCTAAAAATATACAATTGTCTTCAATTTAAACTAAAGGTTAAGTTTGACTGCTCTTACCCTATTTTTCCCAAAATAAGACATCCCCTGGTAATAAGCCCAATCAGGCTTTTGAGCGCATGGCAATTAGGCCAAATACTTATTTCAGGGTTCAAAAAAATGTAAGACAGTCTTATTTTTGAGGAAACATGGCAGGTTCTAATATTATTTATTTATTAGTCATATTTCTATGCCTATAGAAATATGTAATATTTCTATGCCTATTTCTATATTATCTCCATTACACATTAACTTGCAAAACAGAAAATGAGTACATTTTTGGAAAAAAAAATGGGTATGTATTTTATATGTAAGTTTTGCATCAGAGCAGTTTTTACTCAGATTTCAGTATGATTTTCAGAATAATATTTTAATTTCTTTTTTTTTTTAATTTCCAATTTATATATCGCCCTTCTCCCTGAGGACTCAGGGCGGTGTACAGCCAGAATTAAGAACATGAAATACAAATATTAAAAAACAATTAAAATATATATAAATTTGGCCCAAAAATTAAAAATCACAAACCAATTAAAACATTTAAAAAATTTCTTCTTAAGCCAGCCCGGCTTGCTGGAAAAAGTGGGTTTTAAGGGCACGGCGGAAGGCACTGAGGTATTGGATTCTCCTTATCTCTGGGGGCAACTGATTCCAGAGGGTAGGTGCCCCCACAGAGAAGGCCCTCCCCCTGGGGGTCACCAGCCTACATTGTTTGGCTGATGGCACCCTGAGGAGGCCCTTTCTGTGGGAGCGCATGGGTCGATGGGAGGTCGTTGGTAGCGGCAGGCGGTCTCGAAGATAGCTAGGCTCTATGCCATGGAGCGCTTTAAAGGTGATGACCAACACCTTGAGGTTTATTAGAGGTTGTAGCACAACATTCATAGAAGTATAACTACTGAAATATACTATTATTTCCTCTCATGGTTTGCAAATCTCAAGTGCGAATTAATTAAATTTAACATTAAAATGTAAACTCAACATTCAAGAATCTGAAAGAGAGTTTTGCAGCTGAGTAACCCATTTTTCCTGGTCTTTTGTAGTCTCTCGGACATTAAAGGCAAAATTCATTTCCTTTCTTGTTTGGAAATTTAAATTCTACACAAGCCATAAATAACATCTCAAAATAGCAAATATGGGTACAGAGATTACTAAGATTATAAACCAAAAATTAGAGGTTCTTTCTAAGAAGCGGGATAGTGGAAAGAAGCATATTATAAGGGAGAAAAATGGTCTGAATGTTTTATTCACATATTTCAAGCCTGAAGATTCTATTGTTTTTTTTTTATTTATTCATTCCTGCAGTGAATTTTGTCCACTTTTACTTCATCTAGAAACCTACTTTTTTGCCCAAATTAAACTTTTGTTATTGCTTCATTTAATCAGTTTCTTACCCAAAGTTCTTAGGATCTCATTTACTGTAGTGGTTTTAACTTCTCAACTGTTGTACAGTTTTGAATTTTAAATTTGAATTTTGTACAATTGCACTGTCTTGTTGAATTGAACTTGTATTACTTTTAATGGAAAACACTTAAAGCATGTAATAAATAGTCAAAAGTAGGCCCAGTATTTCTATTCATATTTATCCAGATTTCTTGTCCAATGCAACTATATATAACAAGCAAGAAACTAGTTATTCATTATTTCCCAGCTTATTAGTATATCTTTTAAGCAAAGGAGGTTTTAAGAAATTAATCATTATTAAACTCTAGATGATTAACAAAAATTAGCTACTGAAAAAATTCTCCTTAAATTCTATAAAGTATTTACAGTTAGTGTCTACACTCTGCTTTTCTTTTTCTTTTTTCTTTTCTATTATTTGCTATTTAATTATTAATCTTAGTTCCTGGTTTTAAGAAGCTGACAGTAACCTGTTTTGAAAACAGGAATTCAAAACCCCCTAAATAAAATTAAGTGCTTTTTTTTTCTTAAATATTTTCCTAAGTACATATTAAGAAATTCAAAATGTAAAAAAACATACACCAGAAAATCCGTTTTGGTTAACTCACAGCTAATATTTATACTTCTGTGATTTTTGCTGTTGTAAATTTTGTAACAGAAAGTACCAGATTATCAGTCAGTCAGTTAGTCATAATCATATATATATATATATACATATATATACATATACATATACATATACATATACATATATATATATATATATATATATATTATTTTTCCACCTAATCAGGAACAAATCAGATACTAACATTAAAACACCAGTTTTATTTTTATTACTTCATGCAAATTATAAAGAATGGTAGTAATCCCAACCTAAATGAAGAATGTCAGATTCGAAGAGTTAGAGAAGAGTATTTTTTAAAAAAAACAATGACTTCATAGCGATACTTGCTGAAAAACTCCATGTCTAAATCTTGTTTTTAAGACATTACTTGAAAATGCATAAGAATCAGAACAACAAAAACTCAACCTCATCAAGGAAACAGGGAGATGAAATTAGGAAAGAAAAGTGTCACTTACTGCATTTCTCTGGAAATAGATCAGCAGGCCGGCAGCTATTTGGGCTATGAGGATCAGCAACAGGCAAGTAAAATACTGCAAAATAAATAAAGAGTTTTTTCTCACATTTGTTACACTAGTACTTGGTATACAGATAGTCCTCAACTTACAACAGTTAGTTTAGTGACCATTCAAAGTTACAACAGCATTGAAAAAAAGTTACTTATGACCGTTTTCCACACTTAGAATCATTGTAGCATCCCTACAGTTACATGACTTATGACAGCTGGAATGTCCTGGGGTCATGTGATCACCCTTTGTGACCTTCTCACGAGCAAAGTCAACACAGAAGCCAGATTCATTTATCAATTGTGTTACTAACATAACAACTGCAGTGATTCACCTAACAACTGTGACAAGAAAGGTTGTAAAATGGGGCAAAACTCGCTTAAAAATTGTTTCACTTAGCAACAGAAAGTTTGGGCTTAATTGTGGTCATAAGTCGAGGACTATCTGTACTGCCTCACAGGTGAAGTTCTTCAAGGGGGAGGGGGGTCCTACAGAAGACAGTACAGCCAGATGTAATCGGAAGCTTCAGCTACAAAGCCAGAATGCTTTCTTGCTAGGAGCCCAGTGAGTATTTGCTGATGTATCAGAAGGAGATTTATTTCCATTTTCTGCCTGTCTGAGCACAATAAGCTAACAGAATTTGCTAAGCTTGCTTCCATGAGGTGTTTTAATGGAAACCTGGCACAGGTTTAGACAGGGTAGCTGAACAGGTCTGAAATAGTGCAACAGTCTCTACTGATCTTTTCCATCCTCCCTGAACTTCCCAGACTTTCAGTCTTTCTCTGGAGGAAGAGAAGCTTGCTGGTAGAGAGCAAGAGATGGAAGACATTCTGGGGTGCCTTCTGCTTCTACTGTGAGATCCGTCCCCACAATAAAAGACAAGGCAACCTTGGAATGAATATGGGAAACACACTGTTTTGTCACCTTCTTTAAAAATAAAGATGGCAAATACAAATATGGAAAACCTAATGAATCAACAAGAACTCATTAACAAACAAAACAGCAACATCAAAATCAGTGAAGAGTTTGCAAATTGGACCTCCAAAGCACTGTAAGAGTGGTTATGAAGAAAGCTTTTCTTGGGAAAGTATTCCACAATCAGGTTGCAAGCACAGAATGGGCTCTTTCTGTAACAACTTCCAAAGACATACTGTATACTGAGTTGTCACGGATGTGGCAATGTATGCATATCTTCTGTGGTTTCCAAATGATTCTCAATCACTTGTGACCTATAGCTCAAAGCCAGAAAGAATTTACCAGCATCTGCATGTCCTGCTTACCAGTCCCAAGAGGCAGCGAATCTCATTGACTGCTCCAACACAGCCCAGGAACCCCATTAACATGGTGAGAGCTCCCACTCCAGTAAGAATGTATGCGCCAACTTTTGAAGTTGATGATGAGGTCTCTGTGGAAACCCAAGGAGGGGGGAGAAACTACATATAACAGATGCACATTTATTATGTTCCAATAAAGCAAGATAATTGTTCAAGAGAGATAAAGCACTCTGCTTTAAGTTCTGCAGCCAAGAAATCAAAGCAACAAACAGCTAAATCCTGTTACATGGATATATTGCGATGGGAACTGAGCATTCACTTATTGGTCATGTGATAGTGAGGAGATGAACACAAAGCTGTATTTTAAAAGAATGGTCCAGAGATAGGGGAAGGAATTGACCCAGAAGGATGGGGAGAGGATGAAAATGCATTCTAGTATTCGAGGAAGTGAAAATATAGGCCCCAATTGGTAGGTTTGCTTGTGGGAAAACCAAAACTAGCTGACTTAAGAATACTGGTTAGTGCTTCTTAGACTTTAATAAAACAAGAAAGGATTACTAGCCATGGTTGAAAGTTGGCTTTTCTAGTTTTTACATGGTGATAAAGTCTTATTGACGTACGCTTGGATGACCATTCTTGTATCCCCAAGTATTAGCCATGCTGGCTGGGGATGACATAATATCCAGTTCAAAATTTGGTTGGGGTATAATATAATCCACTTTTGACTTAAAACACACATGAAATATTCAGTAGTGTTCTGTTTTTAAGATATTCAACTTTAGAACAGTACCCAGGTAGAAATTCTACACACTTCAACAAGTTTGTTGCACCAAATGCTGCTGCCTTTTTAACAAAGCAGCCTAAGCAGAACCTTCAAGACCAACCTTGCAGAAAGGCAGTGCCTCAGCTGGGCTCTTGATCTGTAGCACTTCTTGGTTTGCCGAGGAAAATTTCCCAGACTTTGCTGGCATAAGGCTAGTCATTTCTATTCCCACTTGCACAATTTTTCCTCTATTTTTTTTTTTCTGGGAAAAATTCCAGACTAGCACAAGAGGGAGGCCTTTTTGGCAACAGAATGGAATGCCCTGCTGTGTCAAGTTCCTTCCCAAACTTTCTGTTAAGGTTACCAGGGAAAAAGGGGGAGGAGGAAACAAGAGAGTTGAAAAAAAAAAAAGAGTCCATCTGGAAATCTCTGGGAAGGAAACAGGAATCTCTGCATGCACAATCTGATTACAAAATAGAAGAAAACTTTTTTTAAAAGGGTGCTCATATTAAAAGCTCCAAGAACACAGTAGCAATAACTGCATTACTTTGATCTGCCTAGGTTATAGAATTATAAACATTTGGTTTACAGATCACAAGAGAAAACCAGGTCATGTTCCAATTCTTTTTTTTTTTTTTTACTGTTTAAAACTGTAGATGAGTATTAAAGGGAGACAGGAAGGGGACACAGCTTAATTCAGCTTGCCATTTTTGTGTCTGGCTAATTCGTCTTTATAGATAACATTGCAGAAGTGATCCAGTTAAGAATAGTTATGCTATATGCAAATATAGAAAGCAGAAATAGCACATGCTGTTAACAGGAAAATATCTTCTTTTTAAATCATTATGAAATTTGCCAACTTTTCAAAACTACTCTCACATTTCTGCAAAAAGGGGTGAAAATGATCATGAAAAGAATTTTTCAAGGACAATTCCCTTGGTCTGACCTGACACGAAAAGCTGATTAGCTTTAAAACGCTTTTCTAAATCTAGCAGGAAGCCATCCCTGCTTTGGACTAAGATCTAAAGATGGGCTGCTCTTCAAATGTAGAGTACTTCTTTTTGTTACATGAATCAGTAGGAAACTTTAAAACTGTCTTACGTAGAACTGAAATGAAGCTTGTTTTGTCCACCAAAATCCATATTCCAAAACCTAGGATGACAGCACCCAGGATCTGGAAAAGAAAATTCAGTTACTTAAAAAGATCATATTAATCTTAAATTTTGTTTTATGAATTTGTATAATAGTTTTAATGAGAAGAGTCTCTAAAACAGCTCACAGAAACAAAACCTAAACTTTGAATTATGGGAAAAAAATAGAAATGAGGTTACAAACTACAAAAAGTCATAGCTTTTTTTGATTTCATGCCTTTATCAAAATTATTTCTACAAAGGGTCAGGATGAAGCATTTCCAGTAGTAAAAGACAGATAGTGTCTATGTAAACGTGCTGTTTTTAAGGAGGGGAAAAATATACCATATTTTTCAGAATATAAGACGCACTTTTTTACCCCCCAAAAGGGGGTGAAAATTTAGGTGCGTCTTATACACCGAATGTAGCCCTGCCCACCCACTGGGCCCCACCCTTTGGCCTCTGCCTCCCAGCAGTTACCTCCTTGCAAGCAAACAGTAAGAAAAAACAGCCCCATTCAGCTTCAGCATAGGCTAATCAGCACAAGTTGATTAGATCGGCCTCCTGACTCTCAGCTGATTTGCTCTCAGCTGTTTTGCGCAGGCTCTTTTGCAAGCTCTTGTTTTGCAAGCTCTTTGCTTGCTGCAAACAGTGCTGGAGCAGATTTTTTTTTCTACTAGCTAAAACGAAACTGAAAGTAAAGCAGGCTCTGCTGCAACTTGACAAAATGAGGCAGGGAGAGAGATTTTTTTTCCTTTTTGCTCACAAAAAAGGTAGGTGCAAACAATGGGAAATTTAGGGCAAAAGAGAGTTCAAGATTTTAAAACACAAAAGAAAAAAAGGTCTATTTAACTAGGGAATTGTAATAATTGAGATGCTATTAATTGTATATTGTGTTGAAAGCAGAAATGGTTCAGTTATGGTTTAGAGGAATATATGGGGAAAATTATTTGGTTTATTATTATTGGTAAATATAATTAATTGATTTGTAACAAATTGGATTGCATGGAAATAATTGGAATATTCATGTTCATATTGATTAATATACAAAAAAGATAGTTATAAGTAAGTGATTTATATAAAAATGTTGAATTTGTATTAAACAATTGTAATATTAAATAATTAACCAATGTGAGGATGGATATAAAAATAGATGACAATGGGAAGAGGTATAATATAGAATAGAAGGGAAAAATTGAATTTGATTAAGATTAGAGATGAGAATGAAGGGTAATATTGGTTTTTTTAAAAAAATAGATGAATAAATATGGCAAAAAGGAAATATAGAAATTGTAAATTTAATTAAGAGCCTTGGTAGTACAGTGGTCTAAGGCACCCTGTTATTAAGCTGGTTATTAAGACCAGCTGCCTGCAATTACTGCAGGTTCGAATCTCGCCAAGGCTCAAGGTTGACTCAGCCTTCCATCCTTTCTAAGGTAGGTAAATTTAGGACCCAGTTGTGGGGGCAATAAGCTGACTTTGTATAAATATACAAAAGGATGAAGGTTATTGCTGAGCACATTGTAAGCCGCCCTGAGTCTCCGGAGAAGGGTGGCATATAAATCAAATTAAAAAAAAAATTAAAAAAATGAAATGACTAAATACTGTTTAAATTTGTGAACCAGCCAAATACTCTGTTCAAAGAAAATACATTGTATGTTTGTATGTGTGCTTGTCTAAAAAATAAAAAAAACTTTTTTAAAAAAACAACAACCAAAAAAGCTAGGTGCGTCTTACACTCCGGTGTGTCTTATACTCCGAAAAATACGGTATTTAGTCTTTCCAATATATGTGACAAATATATTGAATCCAGTCATGTCTTGAGTATCAGAGAGGTGACACACAGAGATAACTAAAAATAAGATTCAGCACTGACTTGCACTTAATCAACCAGACATCTCTAACTTACAACTTTGCCAGAACCTTCCAATTTTCTCACCAGGTCAGGCCAAATATTCTCTTTAACATAAAATTAAAAACTGGGGAATGAAACAATGGTCCCTGCCATTATTCTGTTCTGTTCTGTTCTGTTCTGTTCTGTTCTGTTCTGTTCTGTTCTATTCTATTTTTCCCACCCACTCCCATTTCTTGGCTTCTAGAATCATACATATGTCTCTGAGCACTCAGGAAAATCCCTATTTATGATGTGCAATTCAACAAAGGTAGAACATTTCTGTGGGTTACAGTTCCATTTGACCTTTATAGCCAGTGAAGTTCCTGTTAAAGAGTGGCATAAATGCATAAACAGAAGTATAAACTGATTGCTGAGATCATCATGTTTTTTTCAAATGAGATATTTTTTTTTAAAAAAACCCAATACTTAGATTTTAAATGAATGGTGAAGCATGCTTCAATTTTCTACACGGGGAACCAATCCACCATACAAGCCTTCCCAAACAGCATAAAATGTAATACAGGTACAAACTTGAATGTTCAGTGAAAAACAAATTCAAGTTTAAAAGAATGCAAATGATCAACTGTCTGCAAGGAATATAAATCCTTCCATTCCCCACCATCCAATCAGAACTCAAGAAGCTTCTTGGATGAGAAGTGAAATGTCTTCAAAGAAAAACCAGAAAGTCCAGTTGCCCCTTGAAAAAGCACCTTTGGGACAACCATGACCTGGATGACTGAGAATCTCAATAGACATTCAAGTTTATAATTTGCTGTGCATCTCTACTTTTAAGGCAGAAGAATTAGATGACAGCTTTGTGCATAGGCTTAACAACATTCCATAGGTTTTCAAACATCCCTTCTCTTTCTAGCATGTCATTAAATCTCAGACCAATTACTATGCTTATAATAAAGTACACAATGGAGCTACACCCTTCGTATGAATGATAAGAATACAAGGAAACAGCTAAAGGAGGACTAAACAAGGCCCTCCGTGTGTAATTGTATAGAAACAGGAAGCAGCTCTGCAATCCCTTACAAAGGATATGTACGCTAAATATTTACCTACCAACCAAATTCAATGAGGCAACAAATCATACAACAGTCATACCAGCAGTAAATCCGGTGGCACAGGGCCACGTCTTGGCAAGCAGGTTGCAAACACACTGCAGTGCAGCAGTGTGCTGTAAATGGCTGCCAGCTGGCAATCTCCACCCATCATCAGAAGTTGCCATCAGCACCAGTTGAGAACAGGGCAGCAATTATTATGCTGCTATAATCCATTTTTGCTCAGCTAATCGCAAAACATTCCTGGGGATGGATAAATAAATGTGGACAATTCTGTAGACTTCTATGTCAAAACAGAGTTCAGCTGTGCAAGACAAAAGAGACCTTAACAATGGAGGAGTCCCAATTCCTTCTCTAGAAGATAAAACTCAGGATTCCTTTGCATTACAACTCCTCTGTATAGGGGATGAATGATATCAAAACTGACAACTGTTAAATTGTATTCCAGGGTTTATTTTATGATTAAATAATAGGAGCATTAGGATTTTGCAAATTGTTTCTTAGAAGGAACAGTAAAGGGGAAAAAAAGGGATCTTGTCTTTAATAGATTTGACAAAATTAATAGCACAAGAGTGCCGTTGCATTCCGTGAGATGTCAGAAAGGATCCATCTCAACAGAAACCAAAAGAAAAGTGTACCCTGATCCTTTTTACTCCTCCAGCCTGGATTCCCAAATTCTTGCTCTCCTTCCTTATTCCCATGATAAGGAGACTCCACTCTGGGGATTGCAAAATTCCAAATGAGAAATTTTTCACTGTTACCCTGTTTGCCCTAAAATAAGACATCCCCTGATAATAAACCCAATCGGGCTTTTGAGCGCATGCACTAAAATAACCCCCCCCCCGAAAATATTTAAATGCATGCGCAGCCAGTCCTTGCCATTTCCTCGTTTCCTCCACGCACCCCAAAATAATAAGACCTCCCCAAAAATAAGGCCAAGCGCTTATTTCGGTGTTCAAAAATATATTATTTTGGGGAAAACACGGTAGAAAACTTGCCCACAAGACATGGTACTGCAGTTATGGTCATTTGAGCTACAATCCTTGAGCAGTAACTAAATTAACTGTTTTGGACACAAGTAAGAACCTCTGCTGCATTACATTCCTAGAGGGCTGTTTGTTGCCAAGCAAGAGAAAGAAAGTAAAATGCACAATGTAATATAAGTTGCTACTGAAGCAACTGGCAAGGTGGTCCTTGACTTACAATAGTTTATTTAGTGACCATTTGAAGTTACAAAAGTGACTTATGACCATTTTTCACACTTATGCCCATTGCAGCATCCCCATGGTCATGTGATTTACATTTGGATGCTTGACATCTAGTTCATATTTGACAGTTGTAGTGTCCCAGGGTCATGTGACCATCTTTTGCAGACCATCTTCTGACAAGCAAAGTCAATGGGGAAGCCAGATTCACTTAACAATCATATTACTAATTTAACAACTGCACTTAACAAATGATTCACTTAACAAATGTGGCAAAAAAAAGTCATAAAATGGGACAAAACTCACTTTACAAATTTCTCACTTAGCAACATAACCTCTGGGCTCAATTGTGGTTATACGTTGAAGACTACCTGTATAAATTGGACCATCAACACAATGCTGTGGTCTGCAATCTTAAAAGCTTCTCTCTTTTGGTCCATCCAGATTTTCTATTTACCTCTCCTAGCCCTCTTACTGTCCACCCACCCCATTTTCCCCCCATAAAGTATGTTAACACAAAATTTGAGGTAACCACATTGTATCTTGTGCCTTCATCATACAATTTTGACCACATCATGGAAATTATTCAGGATTTGGGAAAAACACATGACTACTATATTTTACAAAAGGAAAATAAGTGACTAGTTAAATTATAGCAGAGGATTATATTTTTTTTTAACAGCTGGGTGGGAATGTTTCCTCTCTGGAAAGAACAACTAATTTCTGAGCAAAAAAATGTAGCATAAAAAAAAAAAGCTGTACCAGCATTTAAATATGAAAACATGCATGCAATGATATATGTAGTGGGACAAATTCATGACTTAAAAAGCCTTAAAAAACCTCTCACAGCTACGAATTGAGAAAAATAGAACAGCCTT